GAGCTATGTTGGGTGGCGCGGTTGCACCTTCAGAGCCACCACTATCACATTGGTCCATGGTTAGGGGCCAGCCAAACAGCCTCCAGGTTGGGGGTTGGAATGAGGCGGCTCCTTATTCCTTAAAACCTACTCCTTGTAGTCTAACTCCGAACCCGCTGCTTTGCGGTCAGGCTTTTTAACCAAAGGCTTCGGTTGAGAACCCGGATCGTGCTCCTGTCTAGGCCAGGACAACCTGACCGCACCCTACCCAAGCTATACAATGAATAGCTGTTCTCACAGTTATCTGAAACTCTGGCTAAAGCAGAGGATAATCAACGGTGCCCTATTGGCTGCATTGAGCAGGGTGGATAGGGTTTGTATGCTACTTCTCAAACCTACCCATCTTAATCCCCCTCTTACGTCTATCTACTCTTACCGTCCCGTTCCAGCTTCAGTTTTATCCCTTAGCTTCCAAACCCTAATTCTTGGACCTCCTCTATCTTGTTTTGATAGGCTTTTACTTTTAACTCATGTGAATGTGTAGCGTCATTTCTGCCCTGTCAACTAGCTCATATGCAAGTAAGCGGCCAAGGCAACTTCATCAGCTTCCATTTGGAGCCCTCGATCAACTCTTAGATTAGCATGCCTCAATGTACCCACATTCCTACAGATCGGTCCACAGGCAGCACTTGCCGGAACATGAGGGACCCACTCGATCGATATCTGCTGCTCATCGGAGACCCGCCTGCAAGACTGGAGCACTGTGCTCACTTTCCAATCCCCTCAGTTGGCAGCAGCAGCACTTTTCATTGCGCCAATCCTTTGACGATTCGGCTTCGAGCACCGGCCAAGCCGGTGTTGAAATCGTTCTGAGTCCCCTGGCTGAAGCTGCTCCGGTTGATTAGATTCCAACCACTAACCGGGCGTGTGCGGTCCGATTGGCTGCCTCGTTCCAAGCTTTGTAGTCGCGCGGGATTAACAGGCGTCCACCATTCACCATCGCTGCCTATGCACCCACAAACTCTAGTGGTGCTTCGGTAAAAGACGACTTATATCGCCTTCGTCACAGAAGAAGCTCGGACACTTTTGTGCTGGCTGATGATCTGAACGCACAAGTTGGAAAATTATCCACTGATGAACTGCATCCGGGCGGCCAACAGGGTGTAGGCTCCAGTAAGGTTAACGGTGAGCAGTTAGTGCATGTGTATGAAGATGCTCGCTTGTTTCTTGCCAGCACTAATTTCCGACATAGCACCCGCCGGAGGGTGACTTGGCGCTCAGCAGCCTTGAACCAGCTATGGACGCAAATCGATCCCATTGCTGCGTCCAGAAGTGTCACTCGATTTGGAGCACAGGTGTGGACATCGACTGTGCACTTGAGTGTGCTGAACTGCGGATGCGCTTTGGCGGACACCCGAGAGGACGTTGTGAGCGCATTGACTCCAGCCAACTGGCAAAAACAGCTTTTCTGAATGCCTTGCAAACTACGCCGTCCTGCGAGTTGAGTAAGCACTCATTGGAGGCAGTTGAAGCTCACTTGTCCCATTTTCACCAGACCTTAGGAGCAGCAGGCAAATCCTCATGTGGAAAGTCTGATCGCCAACATGGATGTTGGGCCTCCTCGCAGTCTCTGGAAATTATCCATGCTCCCCGGTATATTTCGGCTGGAAGCGAACGCAATGAAACTCGCAATTATGTCAGGGCAAAACTTCATGCTAGCCTGAAGAGAGACCACGAATCCTGGTGGTCTCATCTTGCTCCAGATATGGAAATGGCCGCCACTCTTGGTAACCATCGTAACTTATTCAGGCTGATATTGGAAACGGGCAGCAGAAGAACTGGCGTCCGTGAAACTATGCGTGATGAGAGTGGACAGCCTATCCACAAATGGTCAAAATGCTTGGAGCGTTGGGCTGAGCACTTTGAAAGGCAATTCAATTGGTTGAAATGGTTAGATTTCTCGCCGGCCACTGACACCCTTTCTCCCTGGGCTGTCCCTTTGGATCCACCCTCTCCCTCAGAAGTCGAACGTGAGATCGAACTGTTGAAGTGAAATAAAGCCGCGAGACCTGATGATCTTCCTTCAGCCCTCTTCTAATTCGGGGGACCTGCTCTTGTGGATGATTTACACGTGTTATTAGTCAAACTGTAGGAGCATGAAACTGTCCCAACCGATTGGAGCCGCTCTGCCACAGTCCCAATTTTCAAGGGAGGCTCACGATTGGAATGCGGCAGCCATAGAGGAATCAGTCTGAGTTCGATTGCCTCTAAATTGCTTGCCACTGTCATCCTTCACAGACTGACTGGCACTCGTGAAAGCCAGATTCGTGAAGAGCAAGCCGGGTTTCGTTGTGGTCGTGGCTGAATTGACCACATCTTTACCTTGCGTCACTTATTGGAGCACCGTCACATATATTGGCGGACCACCGTTGTCGTGTCCCTCGATATCAAAGGTGCATTCGGTTCGGTGGACAGACATGCACTTTGGGACTGTCTTCTAAGAAAGGGTGTACCTGAGAAATATGCAAATATCATCCGAGCATTATACGCGCGTAGCTCGGTCGGTGTGAGGGCTTACGGCAAGCTGTGGTCGCCCTGTAATCTCTCCAGCGGCATGAGACAAGGATGCCCGCTGTCACCTTTCAGCTTCAGCTTCGCTATTGACGAATTCATGGTACTCGCGTTCATAGGACACGACTTAGAAAGTGTGGGTCTGCCCACAGTAGAACGACTTTTTGACTTGGAGTATTCTGACGGTATTGCCCTAATCGGTGACAGCTCCCACAGGTGCCAAACGGCACTAAATAGATTAGTACTGGCTGTCAGCCGCTTCGGGCGTTGCTTTGCACCCTCGAAGTGAAAAGAGTTACTCTAAGGTTGGCCTGGACCGCCGCCTTCTCTGACCCTTGATGGGGATCAGCCAAAAGTCGTTTAAAAATTCAACTAACTTGGAAGTGGTATCAGTGCATGTGGGATAGCAAAAGCTCAAGACGCTTTTGCTAACTTTCGCCATTTATGGTGCTGGCGCGACATCACTCTCGCCCTGAAGGGTAGGGTGTACAATGTAGCGGTACGTTCGACTCTACTGTACGATTGTGCAACCTGACCCCTTAGATTAACGGACATAAAGAGGCTAGTCACTTTCGAGCACCGGTGCCTTCGCAATTTAGCTCATATCTAATGAGAACACCGCGTGAGTAACGAGCGTGTTCGACTCCTTGTTCATGGCACAGGGAAAGGAAATGAACCACTCAGCACCGTTATTTCACGCACCAGCCTCTGATGGCTCGACCGCGTGTTACGCATGCCAGCCCACCGACTCCCGCGACGTGCGTTGTTTGCGCGCCGGGGGTGTGGATAGAGGAAATGTAGGGGTGGCCTAACGATGACTTAGTCGGGAGGAATGAAGGCCCTCAGTTGCGAGCTGGCCTCGGTTGGAGCGTGTCGGCTCCCTGGTTGGGGTCCGAAAGACAATGAACACGTTTGGCTGGATACACCTGGTGATATGGCTAGGAGCCCAAGTCAGTGGTGTTCGTGCTGTGAGTTTCTTTGTCCGACCGCATCCTTCTTAGCCTCCCCTCCAACCACGAGCTCTTTATTTAACATTTTATCATTTTGCATAGGAACTTACTTTTTTGATGCATAGTACACGACAGATAGCTTACCGGAACGATGTCCCTCCATTACCGGTAGCTCAACTGGCTTGTACCTGCTGCAGTTTATTCACTGTTTCCTTTTAGGTATTGCGTCACAGTCCCTGAAGTGTTTCTCACCTCCAGATAACGTATATAATGGTGATAATGTTAGTGTGACTGCACTTTCGATCCTCGCGCAGTTGGCGTTGCTTTGTACGTCAACTCAGCCTTTACTACATTAACGACGTATAGTTTGCGTGCTCGCAGATCCTTTTTATATTTCATCTGTGCAACTGAAAGTTGTGTTGGTCGATAGAAGCCCAATAGGGCTGCTGTTGGTCTAGTTGATGTCATCGGTAAACATTCGACGAATAGGTGTTCAGTGATGATGAAGTTTATTCGCCCCCACTTTAACTGCCAGAATCGCTCCTGCGATGCTTTTTCAATTTGTTCTGCTACTGCGTTCTCTCTCTAGCCTTGCACGCTCCCCTGCATAAGTTCGTTGAGTTCCCCACCAGATTTATGATGGGACAAAACCGTCCTTTTTGGACCTGTGCTAGTAAATTCCCTGACTTCTTCATGGACGTCGTATACAACTTAGAAGTCGAAGTACCGGGAGCTCATTTTTGCTTACCAGTGCATGAACCAGGACGCTCGTTAGGCGGAAACTTGTATCGTCCTTGGAGCCTAACCTGACCTCTCGGTGTTAGCGACGAAGCTCGTCAGTAGCTTATATGGAGTCTGACGAATAATCTTCCCCACGGTTCCATATATTTGACTCCCCAAGCGGGGAGCTTTGTCTCTACCCCAGGCCAAATTAGAAGTAACGGCATTCATGCGTACAGGTTGTGGGGTGTAGGCGCTGATAACAATCTTACGCCTAATAGCCACGCGTGACTTCAAAGCTTTGAACGAGTCTGTCCGTCGGACCGCACACATCCGTCTACTGCTTGGGATGCAACTCTGGATGATCCATTGCGCCTGTCGTCCGCCTCACTGCAGAAAAGTGCATCGCATATATACACCTAGCCTTTAGACCGCCAGTAGACCTGCCCCACCCGGATGCCTTGTTTGGTGGTGCAATACTGTCTCGGCTTGCGTTATGCCCTTTTTTCGCTGGATACAAACTATTTCTCAGTGTTCAAGCCTTGTGGCTTACGAGCGATTTACACGCTAACCCGCAAGGTCGGTAATATTGGTGCTTGGTTTGAACATAATAAATATTACTGCAATGTGCTCCTGTACTTCGATTAGCCAATTCCGCCAAACATTGGTTATCACGTGACACTTTACCGTGTCTTTCTGATACCCCTGTACTTGACACACATTGGCGACCACCAACATCTTGCATACACCATTGCCGTAATCCTGCCTCACCTTTATACAGTCTACGTCTATTGATGAGAACTACGTCTTCCGCCTGTGCGCAAACTAGCAGATAGCAGCAATGATGTGTGGTAGAAATGGACACAACCTCATTTCGGAAAGCAACTGCAGGTGAGATTGTCTTCTCATAAGGTCCGCACTTGCGGTCTGTTTTCTTCTGTGTTGCACCCGTCCATATGCACCTTAGTCACAGATTGCTAGGTGGCACGACCATGCTAGGTGACCATGTGGTTCTCACCGAATCCAACGGCTTTTTTATTTCCAGATATTCATCTCCTGCACATATATATTGCGAAAGATGCACGCTGAATGCCTGGATGTGCACAACCTGGGTACCACTTGAAACTGTATGTCAACCTTGCGTTACCTCTACGCATATTGGTTTCCTGTGTTTTTTGCACCACTTCCAATACACCGTTCCTCAGTGCCTGTGGGTCAAGGGCGCAGCAACCGCTACCCATAATGACGTGAACATTTGGAATCGGTACAAACGTCCGCCTTGAATTTCATGGCATGTTTCTATTTCATCACCACGTTGCAGTGATTAGGCCATATTTCAGTGCTTATGCAGCGATAGGAATGTCAAACATTTGCATACTATGACCCGGCAAAGGAAATTACTCTTGACCCGCGTAAATCTTGTACCAATGACATTGACAAAGCCCATTCCATGCATGCTACTTGAAACATTACTTTAGCCCATGTCAGTGGCTTCGCTCGTAGCCATAATGTCGTCCGCTATGGAATGCACATGAACTTAATCAATACTGCTGGTGGGGGCGCGCCGTGTCTATAGTGCATACGTTAGCAGTGGCCATTTTGATGCCACTTGTTTAGGACCTATATGGGCAAGTCAAGTTGGCATCTGAAGCCAACAGCTGTCACTTCCATAGTAGCGATGCTGATGCAACTGCCAAGGTACATATATTGGCACAGTAAACCTTGTTCACGGACGCCTGCGTAGTTCCAGGTGTATTTTATCAGCGGCGGAACTGATGACACCGCTGTGCTGCCAACTTGGGCCCAATAAACGCCGGTCGATAACATCTGTGGAGCCAACAATATCCGCTATGCTAGTCGCCATAATGAAACAGATACTAGGGAACAAATATAGGATAACTACGAATACGTCTTGAAGGCATGTGGAGCCAATATTTGTATTTTACCTCGTGGTAATATTGATGTCAGTGTCTTGGGACGTTTATGGACTAAGTAACCACCGTTCATGAAGACTCCTAGAGCTACCGGCAATATTGATGTGCCTCTGTTGGGCATACATAGGCTTACGCTAGTGAAGACAACATGGATACCGGTTAAGTTGCGAGCATGCCGCCCCTGTTATGGGACTTATACAACTTCGCGGTGCACTAGTCAAGCGGGCGAGGCAACCAATGGAGTCTCTTTGAGTGCCGACAGTAATGCCACATCTGTGGCTGTTATATAGGTTTACTAAGCCCCCATCACGTCAGCATTAATACCCAACTATATAGCACCATGTCACCCGCTACTTGCAACATGCCGCATCCCTGTATTTCATTCATGCGTGCTCCAGTAAATGACCACATGGAATAGGTAAGTATTCAGGGAAGTGCTTCAGGTGTATTTCGAAGTACATTGTTTACCGCGCCTCTTGCTCACCTTCTTGCCTGCATGCTACACGCTGTTATTTGTCTACCGCACCGCGGTGACACCCATGTTTACAGGTGAGTGGTGCTGCTCCAAACAATTATCTCTCAGCTTAACAATGATCGCCCAAGCTTCCGTACTTTCCAACCCACTCCGCATATAGCATAACCTGTACTCAGGTATCATAACTTCCCGCCACGGTGTTCCCATGCCCCTGGGTAGTTCTCACTGTTAACTGCTTCCGCTTTCCAATTACTTCGTGAACGACCTCACGGCCCTTTTCAGGGGCACACTATGTCCTATAGCCTTATGGTGCATCCTTACAAGGCAGTGGTGCCCACTCAAATGCTTACATGCGCTGCCCCACCTGGCCGCTAGTTCAGTGGTTGCGTTCATAAGCGCAGACCACATACTTTAATGCCATATTACACTTCCGGTTCCTAAGCATAGCCCTTCTATGTCGTGACCAAAAACCACAAAACGTTTTTCAGTATTGTTGCTTCGCGGGTTACGAGCACTTTGAACACTCCGAACTCAGACGCCAGTAGTCACATTTGGTTCGAATGTCTGTTCTCACACCCAACAAAAACAGTCCCAATAATACATAAGTCTCGATTTGCTTTGGACGTTGTTAGTCATGTGCAACCTTTCCAATTCCAATCCACTCCGCTTCGCCAACGCGAAATTAATAATTGCGCGCCTGATTTCTTCGGTAAGTTGCCCGTTGTGTTGCAAGCGCTTCATTTTCTCATAACAGCACTTCACTACACGGCTTTCACGTATGTATTACTACACCAAGCAATGCTATATGGATCAAAAGCTCTGTTAAACAATGATCGTACATTATCCTACAAATTATAACGCAGCAAATTATTCCGTGTTCTTCCATTGCAGCACCGTGAGCAGATTTTCGCTTACCTAATATAATTGTTACTTACCTAATTAACTTTTGAAAAAGGTTCAGTGCATATTGCTCACCCGAAGTCAGTACACATGACTACATTGCGGTTGGCAAGTGCAGGTAGCAACAATTATGCCGATGGCCTATTATTATGCAGCCTGATGATTACCATTGCTACCATTCAACGAAAAGAACGTGCCTCGCTACATAGGAGCTGCCCGCATTTACCGATCGACGAATGCGTTACCACATTTCCAAATGTAAGCCACATGTACAAACATCCATATCTATTCCATTAATAAAACTCCCGTCTAAGTATATGGACATGTGTTGGCATGGTTCTCATATGTAGATGTATATATTTCAGGTAGTGGTTTTGAAATTTTGTCCCAGTGTTTGCCTTTTTATATAAATACCTACCAGTACTCTCTTCTATACATATGCACACTTTGCTTAAGCCAGTAGTTGTTAATGTCCATATTATTGTCGTGTTTGTGGCATTTCCGTAAAATATACGTTATGACCTCATGAACTTATCGCGGATTCGTTCGTATGCAGTTTTTATACGCTTATTTAGTGGAGGGTTATGTCTCCGTATCTGTATGCATTAGTGGATTTATTTTATTTCATCTTGTCGTTTCAATTGATAGCCTGTTGTTTGATATCCCGGATGTAGCTGCGCTTGACGTGCATGTTGACAAGGTGCCTACCTGTCTATTACCCACTGCCTCGTCCATACTGGCTCCAGGAGACAGTTGGTCGTTTCTGGAGTGGACGGAATGTACGATCCTTGTGGCCGTGTTACGATCAAAGAGTGGCTCCATGCACTCAGTGTGGAGCGGATTACGGTCCAGCCACCACCTTGTGTACAAGTGACTCCCAAATACAGCATGCCGGTGTTTGACTTGGAAGGAGTGTGGGCCGGCTCCGTTGATGAAACGCGGCTCCTATCCACATGCCTCCCGGTCTTATTCCTCCGTGTTTACACTGGATAGGGGGTGTGTGGTTGGAGCTGTGGGTGGTGCAGCGCAAGCCATCCATTGTTCCTCTGGAGGCGCAGGCGTCCTGTGGCTGGCCACAGTGACAGCCAAATCCAAAACCGGATGCCGCCAACCACATATATATACATACATATACGCATATATATGTTTATAGTTAATCCTTGCCTAAGAACCTGCATTTATGTATATTTCATTTTGTTCTAATTTTACTCATATCCATTATCATATAACAAAATGGTAAAACTAAATAACTATATGGATATATATATATTTCGAAGTTATATATATATGTACTACCTGGGATATCTGGTATTTATTTTTTAATGGCAGTGTCACACCGCTAAAAGTACTCTTACGTTTATGCTTTATATATCATGCTATTTCTATTTATCATTAAGAGTTCACCGCCTCTGCGCTACATGCCGACTGGATGGCCGGTACATTAATAATTCGAAATTAATTCCGCATCAATAAGTTGCAGTGCACAAATATAAACTTCTTATGAGTTCGCAGTACCCTTGGCACTTTTTCAGCAGCTAATTTATGCAGCTCGTTATGTAGTTCTGCGTACTTCTTGTATGGATTTTACAAGTTCCCCCATTTCATTGCATATTTCCAAACAATATATCTCCTCTATCTCTTTCACCTGTTAACATTCAACAACCCTACCATTTCCTTTTTATTTCTTGGCACGATTGAGATTATTTCACGTTGCGAATTCGATGATTTCCCCGTTGCAGCAAATGATATTTCATAAGAATTCCTCACTAACGAACAATCACAGCACACCCTGCGAGGTATACTTGAAGTATACCTTTCCGACAACGTTCCAGCACATTTTCATTCATAGGATGCTATAAATAGGCTTATTTATCTTGGGCGAGTAACGTACTTCACCGTTTAACAGGCCCTTGAAATATCAGAACTTCGCTGCAATTACTCGGTTTGGACTCTTCGGGAACATGTTACCACGGTTGCCATAAACTACTTTACTGCAAACTACCTTATTTTAACACCTTCTAAACATATGCAATGGGTTTACTTTTGTTATTGAAACCTTAATAATCAATTCCTAAGTCTCGAGACTGCCATCTAGATGCCTGCTGTTCCATTTCACCCTGGCCCGGAACAAAATTTTCACCATTGCTTAGAGCCCAGCTCCCTTCTCATTTATTAACGTCGATCATTTTGGTGCCAACGGTTACCAATAGTAACCATCCTATTATTGCATTCAAACACCAATTTTCACGTTAAGTGGACTAAACGTACGCACCTCTACGCAAATATAATCACGTCCATGCAGGCAATCGGATAGCTTGGCAGCTTGAATTCCCACTATTTGTTGTGCCACTGGTGGCCAGCTCATCGTGCAATCAAACGGTGCCCAATTAGTATTATTCTCTTAACTGATTTACCTTACTCTTCGATTTTCCTTACTTACTTACTTACCGCAACTGACACAGCAAGGACATCTGAACTAAAATGGAAAACGGTGTTTGAATAAACACTTGAAACGAAAGTTGACTATTGTCAACCATTATCTGATCTAAGATGTCTTGGATCGATTAAAGTGGTACTCTTCAAAGTGATTTTGTTGTTTACTGGTAACTTTTCCGGTTGCTCCCAGTTTTAATCCCGTTTTGTACCCTGTTTCTGGCTTTTTGGGGTCGTTTTACTATTGTACACGTGTTGTAATCCTACTCTGTTTTCCACATGAACATGGCTGTCTCGCTAAACATCGAGGCGGGTGGACCTATAGGGGCTTTGGTTGATGAGTCTACTGCAGCTTTTTCATTGTTCATTGAGTTCATTGGGTTGT